AAAATCACAGATTTAACATCACAGTGCACAACAGCTGTGATCCACTGCTGCTGAGACACTCACGTAGTTTGACATGTTTGACCTCTGTGTCATTTAGATTGATCTCAGTGACATTAAATGACCACAGGAGGCAGTAGAAGACCAGCAGCCACTGTGTCCCTCTGATTACTCCATGGACTCTGGTGTGAGACATTGGGCAGTTTAGGAACGTCCCCACACACACACTTCCTATGAGCTGAGTATTTAAATATGTGAAATTTTCCAGATAAACTCATCACACACACACACACTCCCTGATGCAGCCGACAGATGGACCTCAGACCCGGGCCAAAAATACCAGTCCAGAGAGAAACACAGGAATGTTACAAATCCTCCTCTGACCCCATCTGTGTACAACACTGTGTACAAGTGTCTCAGTGATGATTTAGTCACGTGACTTTATTTTCTATGTATCTTTCCAATCCATTTGTTTTAAATAGTTAAACCACCTACATCAATGGACCAAAGTCCATAGAGGAAATCAGTGATTTTAGCTCTGAGAAGCACAGAAGCTGGTGGTCAACTGCTGCCTCCTGTGGTCAGTTTGTGTCACGGAGATAAATCTGAACAAAGATTTCAAACAGTGAAGACATGAAATAACACATTTTAACGTCTATATATTTTATATATCTGTGAGCTAAAATAACCACCTTTGTATCAGAATCTGCCAGCGTACAAGCTGAACTCTTTTACTCCTTACTCACATTTACTAACAAACTAAAAATATGTAAACACCAGGGAGCAGTGGAGGGGCCTCCGGGAGAGTGAGGAAAAACATCCTGGTCTTCAGTTACTGGACTGACTCATCAAGGCAGCTTCCACCCAAGAAAAGACGGCCTCATTTATTCCAGCCCCGTCGCTGTAGCAGTGATGGCAGCTCTCTTTAACGGACGCTGGATTTTCTGGCCCAGTGAAGATGCTCAGGCACAATTACATAAGAGTCGCTCTTCTTCCTCCTCTTCATCCTCGGCTCTGTTCCTGCACCGCTGCACAGCTGACAGCACGATAGCCCTGCTGCATACCGCATCATGACATAACAGCATTAAATAGTCTACACACACACACACACACAGAGGGACAATGTGTCCTCCCCTCAACCCTGGACATGAATATTTTTATCCTCCATCTTTGCCCCTGCGTCTCTGCAGCTCTCAGCTCAAAGTCACCCCTCTGTGGAACTGATCTGTACCGAGGAAAACACCTGGACAAATAAAATAAGATAAAGCATTCGTGTGCTGGAAACTTCCATGAGGGTTGACATCACAGCAGTTGTTGATCCACCGCTGCCTCCAAGGTCGTACGTGACCTTGTCCTGTTTCTGACTCTGTTTTCTGTTGGACATAAAATGTTTTTTTTTATTATCTTATTTTCTTCCCTGACACTATTTTGGAGGACATTATTATTATTATTAGGGTTATATGTAATCCTAGAAAGTATTATATTTCTAAAAATACAAAATAACATAAATGTGAAAAAGAACATGTATCAGTCTAAACATATATTATTACATTTATATTACATTTTAATGTGTGGGAAAGAGAAGAATATATTTCCCACATTTAAAGCAACACATTAAAAGTTCACAACTGCTATAATCGTTGAAATTTCACATATTTCTTATTATTTAGGTATAGATGGTCAGGCCCAAAGTCTCACATATTTCTTATTATTTAGGTATAGGTGGTCAGGCCCAAAGCTTTGGTCTCGGGCGTGTTTTCCTACATTTCCCAGAGTTCTTTGCATCTCTGCGCAGGTGAAACCGTTCTGGTTAAGTGGTAGACGCCGGAAAATTGTGTCAAACATTTTTTACATGAAAAGTATGAAAAAGTATGAAAAACTGAACATTTGGAAATTAAACTGGATATTTTTGTAAATCTTTGTAAAGCGACGATCTCCTGATGATGTATGTGGTGAGTTTACTTTGTCTATTTTGTTTATTTTGTCGAAGAAATAATAGTTTCACCAATTTAAATGTCTGTAATTTGTTAATTGTGGATTAGATTACAATGGACCATTCTTTGGTAAATTACCATCTCTGACCACGTGTTACTCTGACGTATAGTTTTCTTGTTAATATTCGTAAATTCATAGAAAAAACTTCCGAGAGCTAAAATTAGGGCTTTTCTCCATGGACTTTGGTTTTATCCAATAATATACTGAGGAGCGTCAGTGTTTAGACATAAAAGTCCATTTTATAAAAATTAAACGATTTAAATGTTCCACGTTAAAATAAAATGTACACAAACGGCAACTTTGTAATGTTTTACTTTGATATCATAAAACGTCTTTAAAGAATCCACAGTAGATCAGCGCTGAGGATATACTGCCCTCCAGTGGTTCAACGAGAAACAAACATAGGCAGAGAATGTGAATAATGTAAATAATGTAAATATTTCAATTAATTTAATAAAACATAACATGAACAGTGAAGACAGTAAAATTGTTAACAATAAAAATATATATAATAAAATAAAATAGACTGACTTATGTTTGGGTTATTTTATTGTTATTTAGTCTTATGTTCATTCTTTTATGTATATTTGTGTGTCAATATATGTAATATTTATTGTTTTAAATAAAGAAGTTTTTAACAATTATTTGCATTTTTTGTGTTGTATGTTAATAACTAAACTATTTTTAATATAAATTACCAATATTTAAATAATATTATTATGAATAATGCAGTTCATTTATAAATGCAGCTTTTTACTACAACAATCAAAGTCAACAATAAATAAAAAACACACACAGGCTTTAACAGTGAATCAGAAACAGCATTTTTATTTTTTGGTGGGAAAACATTTGTAAAATTGTTCACTTCACTTCAACTTCCACATTTTTTTGTCTCTGTGCTTTTTTATTTTTTAAACTTAAACAGCAGTATTTTATCACAATCACTGCAGGTAAAGGCGACTTTAGAAACAGCATTTTCTTGGGAGTGAAAAAAAATTAGCAGCAAAAAAAAAATAAAGTCCAGAAAGTTGGTGAAGAATCAACAGTCGAAAACATGACAAAGTGCACGAGTAAAGAACTTTTCTTTTTTCAAATAAATATGGAGGTTCTTCTCTCATTTTAAAACTTAACAGACACGTTCACTTAACTGTAAATTAACTATGTTTGAAGTAATTACCACTTGAAGAAAAGAAAAGATTTGGTGATTAATGTAAAACAAAAGAATTTGTTTTAAAATACAAACAATTGTCACTTTTCTTTTCTTCTGGCTACATGTGCTGCTACGATCACAAGTTACAGAGAAGTGACATGAATCTTCAAAACATAAATAAGCTTGTGTTTGTGTTTATGATTAATAGTGTCAGCAATGGAATACAATAAAAATAATAAAAAAAACTTTGGTTCCAGAAATATGGAAGAAGAACTCTTCAGTGACTACAATCAGAGCAGAATAAAATCCAAAATTGAAAAATAGAAATTGCCAGACTGACCTGTGCTCCCACTGTGATTTGTCTTCAAGTTTTTTTTTAATTGAACAACATTGTCTTATCAACAATTAGAAAAGTTTTTCTAAGGCCAAAACAGAGATTTTGTAAAGGTAAACTGTTTATGACAGCAAGAACCAAAGAATGAGTTTGTTTTCCATTAATCATCTGATTCATAGAGTATAAACATGTAGTGGCACCAGCTGCTAAGAGACAACACTGATGAAAATGTAGTGGCACCAGCTGCTAAGAGACACCACTGATGAAAAACAACAACAATAACCAGAATAAATGAGCCAAACTAAGAGAAGTGCAGACATGAGCCTCAGTCATCACTCCAACATCTGACTGTATATAAAAGAGAGCAGGTGGAGTCCAAGGTGTGTCCATGTTTAATACGTGAGTCATCGTCTGCAACAATCAGAGGTGGAGTCACTCCCCGCACACAGATGGATGCAGCTGATTGGCTAATGTTTGAAAATCAACACAGTGACACAGGAAAACTAGAACGTAAAATGACCAGAGGGAAAAACTACCCAAAGATGTTGATTTTTTAAATAAATTCCCAAATAGTCTTCATATTTTCTCAAACAGATTTTTTAAGATATAAAATGATTTCACCAAATGAATGAGTTAAAAAATAGTTCTGGTTTCAGAAGCTCTTCAGTCACATGTCTCATCTCTGGACTTCAGCTGTCACTCACTAACAACAAACAGATGACTGTTTTCTTTCACCTAGAACTGTACTGAATCTCCACTGACACCACGGTGGTCAGTGAATCTCTCCTTCTGTGGAGAATCGGTTCTATTTTCTTTTCCTACTTTGTTTGTGTTTGTTCTGCTCTCTGTGATGTAAACACACAGAGAGGAGTGACTCCTTCACCTCCTGCTGTCAGAGGACAACAACTGCCCACAGAGACGACACCTTCCTCGGGGGATCAACACTGATTAGAAAAAGTTTGAATTTTGTTACAATTAGTGCAAATTAGTGGTTGGCGATGGGTGCCAAGGTGCTCTAATTCTCTCTCTCTCTCTCTCTCTCCATGATCACATTCACAGCTGACATGTCCTGGTTCTTCTACGTGGATGTCAAAACAAAGGAGCAGGCGTTTGTTCCCTTACACAAATTCAGTTCAAAAAGGAAAATAAAGGCACAGAGATTCAGACTCTTCCAGTCGTTTCTCTTCATCCATTGCAGCAGCAGCAGATTTCTAGGAACAAAACTGTCCACTGTGATCACTGTCAACACTGTGTAGTGAAGAGGAGCGGGACTGTCAGCCCTGGGAGCTTCAGCCTTTATGTGTCAACGAATAAGAATCAGCAGCTCCTCCCCCCCTCCTCCCCCCCTCTCGTCTGCTCCTGCTCCTCCTCTTCTTCCTCCTGCTGCTGCTGCTGCTCCTTCTCAGCTCTCTGACAGTGAAAAACACTGAGCAGGTACAAACAAAAAATTAAGCAGTTTATGGATGGCCGACCGATCCATCCATACACAGTCATGTCTGAAACGTCCCACAGAACATTTGAAAACAAACGACAGACAGAGGAGCAGACGAGCAGTAAACCGATTCTTCAGCGCTGACTTTACTGTTAAACTTTCAGATGAAGATTGAATCGTGTGTGAGAAAACCCTCTGGTGTCTCATGTCAACACTTCCACTTTGGTTTTCATTAGAACTGATGTTGGAGTTCAGCTGACCACACAGAGAAGTCATGACGACTTCACCAATCCATCACCATCATCATCATCATCATCATCATCAAGCTCAGTCCGAGGATGTGACTGCAGGAAGCAGGAAGTGGAGACACAATCACAACGACCAGGAAACTCTCTCTCTGTGTCACACACATCTGAGAATTTAAAATGAATATATTTCAAAACCTCACATAAAAAAAAAATGTTCACAAATGTTTCTGTTTCTCAGGTTCAGCCACAATCACTGGAGGAAAAGCGCTGCTGCAGTGCATTCTGGGAGCTTGAATCTGTATTTACAGCACATGTGGAATGACACAGTTTAGTGTAATTTACAGGACGTTTCACTCGGCTCCTCAGTACTCCCACTCGTCCGTCTTCATGTCCAAGTAGTTGAGAATGTTCTGGGCAAACTTCACCGCCTGCTTCCTGGCCACCTTGGTCATCTCATCACCGTGTGGGTCCACGGCGTCCAGCGCCAGCAGCTGTTTGGTCAGCAGCTCCTCCAGCATCATGTAGCTCTTGTCAACACGCTTGCCGTCGAAGCCCAGAACCTGGGCCTGGAGATCGGACAGGCTGCCCAGAACCAGCCACACGGCCCGGTGGGCTGGGTGCTCGGCGGGACCAGGCTGGCGTCTGGCCAGGGCCTCGCGGAGGTCCAGGAAGGTGATGACGGCTTGAACTTCCACCACGGCACGGCGACGAGCCTCCCGAATACAGGGGTTCTTTGCTGTGTCCACCTGGTCCAAGTGAGTGAGGAGACTCTGGAGTTCAGCTTTGGGTCTGAAGCTGAGGTCACCCACAGCACAGTGTCGCAGGATGCCCTCTCTGAGGTGGACCACGTGAGCGCGCACAGCCTCGATCTCACGGATGGAGTTGTTCTGAGCCAAATCATATCTGTAAATCACAGACAAAAAAAGGATCAATGTTAATAGTACTGGTACGTTAATGAACTACTAACACGTTCTTTAACATCCTTGTTCTGGACTGTTTCCAGACAAATAATAGAATACACAGATATAATTAGGGTTATATCTTTTATATTACACTCTTTGTAAACGTGCATAATTCTGACCTGCGGGTGTCGTCTCCTTCCACTTCCAGGTCCACATGTTTCAGCAGACCATTTATCTCCTCCACCACCTGCTTCCGGTAATTTCTGATGGCTGCGTTTCCAGAAACATCCAGAGCGTCCAGCTCCACCTGCATCTCCGTCAGGAGACGTGACAGATGGGCACAGCTGTCTCTGCCGCTCAGGCCCATTAGCAGCGCCACCAGCTGGCTGCGGGCCACGCTCACCTTTACCATCACCTGGTTGATCCGGTGCACGGCCTCATGGGTTTCTCCAGACAGGGGCAGGGACAGGGTCTGCTGCTGCGTGCGACCTTCGACCACGTCCTGTATGGCGCACAGTCTGGTCAGCGCTCTGTAGCGCGCTTTTCGGAGTGGAACCCTCCCCTCGGTCTTCACCTGGGTGAGCTTCAGGATCAGGCCCTGCAGGGCGTCCACCAGCTCGTCATTTATCTCAGCCACACCGCCGGCTCGCTGAGGCGCCACCACACGATCGTCCACCAGCGCTCGCGCCTCGTTGCTCAGATCTTCAATGGCCAAACGGGAGGGATGAGTGGCGTTCTCCTCCAGGTATCGCAGGAGACCTTCCACCTCCTGCGCCGCCCTCTTTCGAGCCCCCTGCAGCTCCGGCTTTCCCTCCGTGTCAACCTGATCGACCTCCAGCAGCAGCCGTGTCAGCTCCCTCTCTAGACGCTTGTAGTCCCGGTCGTTCTGCAGCCCGCTGAAGGTGCACACCTGAGGACCCAGCGACGCCACCTCCTTCTGGACCTCATACAGCCGCATCATGGCAGGATGCTGTGGGTGGTAAGGCTGCTGCTGCTCCATATGCTGCTGCTGCTGCGGCCCACCATTGTCCATCCTTTTCCCGCCATCAAAGGGCTTTCCAAAGAGGCTGGAAAATAAAAGCAACAGTGACAAGAAATTGAAAGCACCAATCAGGAGCACCAGGGGAGAGAGAGAACTGATGCTTGCACGGCAGTTTGTCAAGGTGGGATTTGAACCAGGGTCTTCTGATAACAAGCCCACTAGGTGACTGGCTGCCCCAAAGCTAACAGCACCAAGTGGTCTCCCATCAAGCTTCTGACCACGCCCTATCCTGCTTTACTCCTAAGCCCAGATGTGTTCAGGGTGATACGGCCCCAAGAGTCTGTAAGTGATGACGAATGTTTTTTCCACACATGAAAAAGATCTACTGTCCACTGGGCTTTTAGATGAATCACACACGTGTGGTTCTGTGGTTCTAAAGTCTGAGGTTGAGTGTGGTTGGCCAGTTGTTGCTGAACATGTTCTTCTTTAAGGTACAGATAACCTTCTGCTCTGCTGCTCATCTGTGTTTTCATGTAAATAATAGACCACTGTTGCTTTGGTGTTGGAAATAAAAGCTTTCTACACGTCCCTCAGGGGATAACCAGGAAGAATCTGAGAGTTATATAAGATGTGACTCTATCACATGTCAACAGGAACTGTCCAGTTCAGTTGTCAGGTAGAAGTCAGTCACTCGTCTGCTAAGACTTATCACAGCCTCTAATCATAGACAAAAGCAGAGGTTTGGACAACAACAAATATCTCAGAACTCCCTGACAGGAGATACAGTCAGTTGATTTTTTTAAGTATGTGAAAATCTGCAAAACCACTCAAAGAAAAGGTTTCTCCTCTTTAAGAAGTACAACAAAAGGTAGTATAATGCAAGCAAACTGGATAATTCAAGTTCATTAACATCAAAATGAATGCATTTGGTGAGTCTCAAGGACTGGGATCTGTGCCTGTCACCCGACACAGACCTTAAAAACAGCCAAAAATATGTGTCAAGTCTCCTATTGTCAAACCTTGTCAATGTGTCACAAACTAGCCTCAGGACTGATGAGTCATTAGACAAAGACAGAGTATACAGAGCCGGATATTCGAACATTTGTTTTCAAACTTGCAGAGAAACCCTTCCCTCTGCCTCGACCTGAAGTTTGTTGTTCCTCCCTGCAGACATGTTAGTTCTCACCCCCTCATTTCAAGCCAGACTATCACTGATCTCTGAAGAAAAGACCATGTTTAGTGTCAAGACAAACAGACCGACTCCTTACAACGCTGCAGTTAGACGGTGAAGAAGCTGCTGAAATGTCTCTCCATCCAGTTCGTCATTGACCCTGTTATCCATTCATCAATTTTGCTTTTCTTCTCCAGAAAACGCCACAAGATCAATCATGAACCAATGAACTACACGATTTTTTAATCTCATGATCATGGTAGAAAGTGAAACCAACATTCCCACACGCCCACATGAAAATACTTCGGTTTCACCTGACTGTTAGTTGTGATGTGATGGTGCTGATATCGGTACCATCCACACAAAGACAGTCCTGCTTTTAGACTCAGTGTTAGACACTGATGGGACAGTATGACATACAAAAGAAGATTGATCAAAGGCATGTGTACAAGTGACCTTTGATACCATCTGATTCACTGATGTCTTTTTATCTGCTAATCTTTTGAAATGAGTTTGTCGTTTTATTTATTTTGATATCTATGTTGAATTGTGTCTTAGTAGTTACGTAATATCTCATGGATTCTATATATAACTCTTTGCTGTTGTCATCTTGTCTTTGTTACTCCAAAGTCAGTTTCACTGTCATTCTCTGTCTGCTCTTCATCTTTCTTTGCAGTGTTCAATATGTGTATTTCCTTATATGGACTTACTTTGTGATCATTTTGTCATTGGCATGGTCTTTGACCTTCCAGAACCCCATACCTTTGTTCTTCTGATCATTAGATTTTGTTAGGGGAATGATGCACCTATATACTCTAGAAACTCTTAAGAGTGTTGTTACCTGGTCTATATCCACACTGGAGTTTACCTTAATCACTTAGTATTACATTTCTAACAAGACACTAATAACACTTACAGGCTGTTAATCTGGTTCTTAAAGTTTGTTGATTTCTCAAAAGTATGCTGTGCCTCCATTTAAAAAGATAACATTCTGCTAAAATGTATGCAAAGGACTTGGATCTGTTGTAGGGCCAACTCAGAACCATATGGTCTCATTTTAAAACTTTTTATATGTAGTACTTGCATGATATTTTCCTATCAAACCACACATACCTAAAGACAACCTGTTATACGGGCTTTACTACCATAATTACTCCTCTCAGGCTTCGGGCAGTCTACAGCATCCATACAGCTTTTGCGCATTATGTCACAAAAACAAATCACATTCTGAGCACCATCACCGCAGCAAACACCTCCAGAACCTCCGAGCTCACAGCTCGAGGAATCATCATCATCAACGCCATTCTCTCCTGGAGCTGCATCCTTCCTCACACCCTCATACCTTCGGTCTGCGTCCTCCTCACCTTTTCAGAACTCCCAGTACATTGGCGCACATTTTGGACGAATGCCTGTTTCCATCAGCCACAGCAGGCCGGTATGAGGAGGACCCTGGCATCCAGGTGAAGGTGTTCGACGCTCCGGTTAGCCTCAGCAACAACTGCCCGCTGGATGACTGTGTGACTGCGGCGAGGCTGCTGCTGTCGCCCCTCCCACTAGGATGTGAGGGGGCTCCCTATGCTCAGTCCAAGCTCAAATTCAACTACAACCTTACAAATACAGACATTTATAAACCACACAAACCGTTATGGAAACATGAAAGAGCGTGTTTAAAGCGGGGAAACACAATCTGCTTCCCCTACTTTGCTGAAGCTTATTATGAATAGCCGTTGATCACCTGACTCTGCCCCACCTTCACCAAATTAACTTCACCTCTCCTGTTTGTTTTTAAAGTCTTAATTCACCTCTACTATTTTATATAATTTATTTTTCCTTCTTACCTGCATAACCAACGAACAGCCATGAGAACCGTACTGGGAAAAGTGGGATCCTACTCCGCTTAAAGCTAAACATTAGCTCATAAAGCTAAATCTACAGCTACAGACGATGAGCCCCTTAACCGACAGTCAGTGTAAACTTGCACAGAGTTTTCTTTATTACTTAATACAGTTATTTTAAAATCGTTTATTGGTGTTTAATACACCAAAAACAACGGATCATCATAAACATTAGTAACAATCTACTCTGAAATAGTAACTTGTAAAAACGCATACATACTTATACTTTGGTGACGTATGATCGACTGTAACTCTGCGCAAGGTTTTGGTTGTCCAACATTGGGTGAGCTACATTTCCTCATGCCAGTCGACCGTTTGTCACGGCACGGCAACACGGAATTCATTTGGCTCAAAAATTGGGATTATATCTATTATATTTTATATATAACACTCCAAAATAAAATGAAAAGAGAAATGTTACGTCATCTTAGGTCATTTGTTATATTTAAAATCGGGAAATTTTTCTAATACAAATAATGGCCAAATCATTTACAACTATATTATTATATTGTTTGTTATTTTTTATAGCTTCTCAATATTAATTTCCTGAAACTTACATAACATTCTGTGTCCGTTTTTTATGTAATTGTTTTTCAGAATAAATGTTTTCCTTAAAAAATATATAATTGATTTTCACATTGCTTCTAATATATATATATATATATAGTTAAGAAATATATATAGTTAAGAAATGTAAAAAGGTTTTTTGAAAAGGTCTCAGGTAATATATGCATATCAGCTTTTTTTGTTTTATCGCCGCATTAAACGAAACACCGCCGGCTGGATGAACCTTTCGAACGCATCCATCTCTTCTGCCGGAACCACATGACCGGAAATTCCGTCGCCCGTTGTGTTTGCGCAGAAGGACGTGAAATGAGCCCAGCGACTATTTAACATTTGTGGCGTGTTTTACTGGTTTTGAATTATTTTCTTCGACATTTGAATTGCGTTGCTCTACATCATTAGCATGACGTCAGTGGTGATGAAGAACTGTTTAAGATGGCGTAGTCTGAGGCCTGAACTTTTCTCAGAAGTGAAATGTCATTTCTGCACATCTGAACAGTCGAGCAAACAACAGGGAACTAAGAACATAAAGGTTTATTATAATCTGCATTTTTATATAAACTGGTGTCCAACCACCTTTGTTAATGTTATGTTATCCTTTGAAAATGTAATTAAGAAAATTAAGATAATAACAATATTATCTTAATTTTCAATTAAGATAATAACACATTTTATTCACTAACATTGAAACATTTGATGATATCAAGGTCCAGGTTCCATGGAAAATTCAGTACTCTGCTTTCGTATCGCTAAAAAGATGTCTAACAGTACTCTGCTTTCGTATCGCTAAAAAACGAAAACTGTTAGACATCAGTTTTCGTTTAAGAACGTCTTTTTAAACTAGCCTAAGTGAACTGCAGCCCAACTGATTACTGGTTATTTCATTTTGCCTATTTTTATATAACTATTTAGTGTTTTTGTATTTTTCCCTGCGTATTTGTATTACTTAGTACATTTGATTGGTGTAGTGGTACCTAATAAGGGATCCAGTAAAAGGGGACATGTCTCTGATAATAGGAAGCTAACACTAAGTCGCCTTTATTGGGCTTTACATTTTAGAGATCCAATGTCAGACCTGAACCCAGTTCCACCTATGACTGGATCGGTCCGCCGAACCCTCTGTCGAACCTGCGTCCCATCGTTTACCGTATCCCCGAAAAAGAGTCAGAGCTGGAGAGACGTCTGAGGCAACTGCGACAGGAGACAGAAGACTGGAACCATGAGTTTTGGACCAAACAGAACATCTCCTTCAGCAGGGTTGGAACATTTGCTTCATTTACGTTTGTGTTATATTCGTTATTATAGCTGTTGTTTTTTGGTTAAATATGTAACAGTGTATTTTCTTGTTTCCTGAGAAAAAACAACAACAACAAAAAACCCAAACAAGACACCGACAGAGGGCAGCGTTTAACAATCAACCAATTATTGCACCGTAACATTTTAATGGGTCGATAATATAAAAATAAAATGGTTTACACATAATCCATAAGTATAATTAAACGCAATTATGTTTTGTTATTATTACATTGTTGCTTCTAATTTTACAAGAAACAAAGTTTTTTTTCTGCTGTAGTGATTACATTTAAAGGTTTAATGCCTTCCACCTTAAGCTTTGTGGTGTAGGATTAAAAAAATGTTTTTTTATGGACGTGTGACGTTTTACATAAACTATTTTAAGTTTCAAGTTTAAACTTGAATTATTATTATTTTCTTTCTTCAGGAAAAGGAAAATTTTATTTTCAAACAGCTGAAGGACAAAGGTTTGACCAAGGTTGTGCAAAAAGGTAAGAACATAGCTATACACATAAACACATAAAAAAAACCATTTACGTAACAATGAAATAACAAAGGTTGGAAGGTAGCAGTTTGACATTAAGAGATCAGCTGGAGGTTTCCACAAATTCATTTCTCTCTTTGTCTCACAGGACGTCCATCTCTCAGCAGTGAAGAAATGGCAGTTTTTTATAAAAGCTTTCTTGATAAAAACAAAGAGCAACACGTAAATTACAACATGTGAGTATAATTTTCAGTGCAACAGCTGTGGTGCTGACTGACTTATGTTTTCCCTTGGAGAATAGAAGTGGATTTACTAAGTAGCTAAGCATTATTTAGCATTATTTTTAGCTTGTCATTAGTTTTCATATTAATCTTATAATATAAACAATGAAGCTAAATGATACAACATGAATTAATTTCTGATTACTTTAATTTATAAAAAATACACTGCGTATTTCAGTTTTAATTTGAACTATTACTGTTTTCTTCTATCGTCTCATTCTCATCCAGAGAGTGGTACAAACGAAACTTCACCATCACTTTACTCATGGCTCGAGTCGCCTTCAGCAACATGTGGAAGAGTGTGCGGCACTCTTCATCATAATCATCATAAT